GGAGGTGAGGAGGAGGGCGGAGGAGGAGCCTTGTCCGTGCTGAGGTCGGTGTTGAGTGTCTTCACGGTGGAGTCGGCATCCTTCGTGCCAGCAGCCTCAGCAACCTCCGCGAGGGCCTTGGACTTGCTCTTGGACTTTTTTGTGAGTGCATTCAGCATGACTGGCGGCTGGTGTTGGCGCTGGGTGGGAGCTGTTGATCTAGAAGTGCAAGGTGACAGTTAAAAGAGGAAAAAGCAGATTAGAAGCGTAGTATAGTCAATAATAATAAATAAAGTAGTCTGTTATCTTCGAGGGCGTGCCATTCACGCCCAACTCCATGAGAAGCCCATATAGATGGTTGGGGAGCGCCCTGTTCCCTAGGAACTAGCAAATGTGCCGGTCCTCACTTCCTGGCAGTTTGCTTAATGTTGAAGCCCTTCCGTATTCTATAGGCCGTAGGGATTGCTACGAGTTTTCGATAAACGCTCAGAGACCTCCTCCATGAGGATCTAATATACACGTTCAATGATTTTATTGCAGCTTCTTATTCTAAATCTTTTGCCTGGCTCGGTTCATTTATTACAGTTTTGGTTGGGGTTACCTGTTCGCATAGGATCTAAGCACTTATGATGCGCACTTGAGGTTGGGTATCACTTGCTGATGACGGCTAATATGCCAGAAATGGCTAGTCCGGTCTGTCTTGTCTTTGTGGCTTCCCCCTTATCATAATCTTTTTCGACTGGCTTTGACGGCGCTAAATTAATCTCCAGGGCAAACGTGGGACATGCATGTTCCTTTACCAGATCGGTAAGTGCCCTATTATCACTGAGGTAAGAGTTTGGAACCGGGACGAGATTAAAGTGTTGGCTTACGACTTTGAGTATGGAATAAAGTTGCGTAGTTAGAGTTAAGTCTTGCAGTTATGTTTAGCGCTTTGGGTAAGGACTTGGGGTAAGACTTTACTACAAGTAACATTACTGTTTTCAGAATAGGTGGTATGCGGTTATTCCACAGAAGTTGATTTTCGTCAGTTCAGTTGTTTAGTACAAGTTCAGGATTGAACTTTAAAGACAATTCTGGACAATTAACTCCGAAATCGTTGCTTAATACTTATCTGCCGCATGTCGGTGCCATATGTGTATGCCGAACCAATGTGGACAGATTTATACAGCACAGTTACGGACCAATGTCGCCTGCATTCAGCTTATTTTTACTCTAGCCGCCATATATCATACCTTTGCTCACCAGTCTAACGCTAGTTATCAAAGACCCTTTTTTATTGCACAGTATGAATGTCAAAGTCATTGTACCCACACAAAACGAAGCAGTTTAAGTTAAGAACAACATTTCCCTATAGCAAAAGGACATCCGAGACTAATATTTATCATAGACTATGTCCGTCTACCCTCATTACTCTCTGGGGGGGGAGGGGGAGGGCGGTTGGGCAAAAAGTCCAGACAAGAAATCTTTATATGAAAACTGTTCACAGAGTTAAATTTAATGTACACTTAAATCAAATGGGGCATGACCTTTAGACATACCCTACTGTTCGGTAAACCAGAATTATTTCAATTTAGAACCTAATAATAACCCCTAATATAATGGCGCTCACTCTAGCCCTTCCGGGTTACAAACAAATAAAGCAGGCGCAGCCGTAAAATACCATATCAGAGCTCCGCAGAAATTATGGGAAGCTCCTTTATGAGGGCATTTTAAGCGGCAATTTACAATCCATATGCATTGATGAAATTGAACTGACACTGGGAAATTCCTACGAGAATAACTGCGAGATGTACCTGATCATTTTACCAAACTGCGCGTTGGCTAGCTAATAAAATGATCCCAAGTGACCGATGCACAGCAGATTTTAATAACGGGAGTTGACGCACGTAATATAGGTCTCGTTTGCTCCCTGACCTTACTGCTTAAAATCATTAGGATGAAATGTATCTTAGGAAAATACTAAAAAAGAATATTTTAAGAAAAAAGTTGGAAACAGGAATAGGCGCTGTCCGTATGGCAGGTGGTGTTGTGCCAAAATTCTACGGAGGGGTTATGCATTTCCGCGTCTTAATCCTAATTCAAACACTAATTCCAACCAAGAAGAAGATTCAATCACTAGTCTACCACTTTTATTCGCCTGATGTTTCGACATCCGTCACGGATTCTTCCTCAGAGGCATGAGCAGGAAACAGTAGCGTAAGCAGTTAACACATGCACAGGAAGTTGCAGTATTTATAGAGTACAGTCATTACTGCACACGTATGACAAGTAAAGAGAATTAACAATAATTATCCCCTTGTCTGTGGATTTCTTGCTTGCCGGTATGCGAGCCCTGACTTGCTGAACTTTCAGCAAGCGTGTTGAAATTGGAGGCTAGGATTGCTCGGCCATCTGGTTCCCCGGTGTTGGCGTAAGATGACTAGGTGGTCTGTGCGTTCCCCAAGTGGCGACTTGCTTTGGCCAAACTCTGTCTCAACACCGAATATGGATTGGGCAAAAGGTTGCACTTGTTTATGGGGTCATAAGTCTATAAACCCCATCAGCCACCAGTGTATCAAACAGAAAGCAAGCAGGGAAAGCGGGGGAGAACTTTCCATTCCGGTATATTAACCAGAAAGCAGATAGGGAAAGCTGGGCGACCGACTGATGAGCCGGACCCCTCGCAGCTGTGTCAAGCAGCGGCAGAATACCGGCTAAACACGTTTCTGGGCTTTTAGTTAGCATCTGTGCTGCTAGTATGATAAACTACAGCTTCAATTTATACTGACGTCTGTCCGTTGGCAATACATGTATATTATACGGTGGCTGATAGAGTTTGGATCAAATATGTGCATCAAACTTCGGTCTATGCCTATAGACTATGCATATACTAAGCCATCCTGAGAACAGAAATCAAAGAGCTGAAGTTTGAAAAAACCGGTATGTCACCCAGAAAGCAAACAGGAAAAGCCGGAGGACCTGGGGCAGAATAACGGTGAAAGACGTTGAAGCGAATACCGTAAATTACAGTTCCAAAATATTTACGTCTCAAACAGTTATTGTGAAAGTGCATTCATTCGTGCAATGCAGTCTGACTTCTAGTTCAGCCCACAAGCATAGTTTACACAGTCAGCTGCCTCAAAAAATTTAGTTAAAAACAAATTCAGTCGCGAAGCCTCTGTAGATCCTGATTACTGTGTTAATGTTGACAGTCACGACAGATGGACAGCGTCTCTTCTAGCCATCAAGTAAGGACACAAAAACAGCACGCTGTTTCCTCGCTCTTCAAAGACGCACTCGAACTCAGCGGCCTACGAGCGCAACCGGAAAGAAATCAGCAAGTTCTAAGAAGACGTACGCTGTCACTCAGAGACGAAAACAATCTGCTGAGGACTGCATTTTCTAGTTGCATCACAGATGTTTTTTTGCATCAGATGCTCCAGGCACAGACTTGCAAGTACCTGCAATCTGTTCCATCCAAAAAATGTGACATCTTTTTTTCCCAAAGTCAATCAAAAGGCCACAGGCTACTAACATGATCTATAGGCTACATGGAAATCCATGTGATACACCTAAATGTCCACGAGAAGTTATATTTCCTAGTTTATCATCTGAAATAGGCATTCAGTCCCTGAGATAATAAGGTTTATTTGTAAATCACATCTTCGGCGCCGAGATAACGAGAACGTTTTATTGGGTGATATTAGTTGGACTCCACCCTGCTTATTCATGTGCTTGCATCAATTTCGAAGGATAAGTGTTATAAATTAGACCGAATAATTGCACAACAGTGGGCGGGGTTTGAGAGCATACGCCTATCGCCAGCTATTGTGATATGTTCCACTATGCTGTGCTAGTTTTTCCGTTCATTTGTTGATTGTCTGGGCGCGATAAAACCATGTTCTGAGTTCATCACGAGCGCTAGCAAACGTCGACATGATTTACGAATTTCCTCTATAAGCACAGTTAGTTGCCTTTATCATGAAATATAAACCGAAAGTTTGAAACGTGTTGTCGATTCGCAAAATAAATTGAGTATGGTTGCAATACTGATGATTATGAAGCCTAAACCGAAGTTAATTCAGTTAGGTCGGGATGCCAACTTTTAACGAGCTTCTTGCTGATCACCTGCAAAATGTATATGCTGCAAAAATGTCTACTTGGGTAGTATGCAGTTTCCTCGTTGATTTTTGATGCCAAAAATATTCTTTTTCGTACTCGTTTGGTATAAACTACATTTTCTTAAAGTTTTGGTGGGTTCTTAAAAGTTTATAATTATACGATATAGAAAGTACGTTAAATTTTTACTCATAATATAGCGTATCCATTAATTAATTAGTGTTGCCTATTAGGTATACAGTACGACCAATTTTTACTCCAAAATACGATCAGTAGAGAAATGGAAGATTTTGCCCATACAGAATGAATACAGCATGCATTTAGGAACCTTGAAAACAAGTAAAATGAACGGTAGGGTTAATAATTATTTCCCAATTTATAAGATTTTTCAGGACTGAAAGATCCCCCTTTCTGCTAGTGTAACATCTAAGGAAGACGGATCTTTTCCTTAAATGACTGAATAAGGGAATATTTTTGTCCAGATTTTCCATAAAAAGTATTATAATTTATAAGGGCAGACTACATAAATAACCTTTTTTTCAAAGTGGGATTATTTTTAAGCAATCAGGAAGAGACTGTTTCAAATTCCAAAATCTTGGCATGACTGGAATATCTCGAGATTGTGCTGCATTATTGTCATTATTAAAACGCTACTAATGCAATTTGTGCAAAACTAAATCAATTTTCAGCATTTCAGGCCTCTACATTATATAATGAAGACACAATATCTATTTGGCGATTTCTTTTCGTCTGGGTTTCGCGACCAGTAAGCAGTTAACATACCAGCCAAGCGTACGGCATCGAAGTTCAACTCAAAGGGATACTTACAAACCTCAAGCCATATTTCACAAGTCCATTAGCAGACCAAAACTCTGTAGAAGAATTAAAATCGTGCTTCGGTAGGTTTTTAAAGGAACTACTTATGCCCTATCGTAATTTCATAAATGCAAAAATTTCGAAAAAAACCGGTTTCGATGAAGTTAAATGCCATGACTAGAGCTCTTCTTTCACAAAGTTGGGAAAATAGATTTTGCTCTCCCAGGAGTCACTAGTAGCCCACCTTGATTGTTTTATCGAA